AACCCCAAAAAACTATATTTGGTTTGACATTGAAACATCCGGGAAAAACTCACAGTTGACTAAAGCTTTTGAATTTTTGGTATATATCTAGATTTTCTAGTCTTTGTATGATATACTAAATAAAATGTTTTTGAACAAATATCTAGAATTGATTTATTGAGTTTGAACTCTGAACCATTTTTTATGTGTCTGGTTGTCCCCAATGTTGTTTCCTTCTAAAATTCCTACCAAAATAATTTTAATTTCCTATCATTTTCTGGGTTCCAAATGGACCCTTAAAAAATGCTACAATCTCTTTAAAGAAAGTGGGTTTGTTCTCCAGCATGTGCTGTAATTGTTGACTTATTTTCCAAGGTAATATTTGCAATTGTTCTACTTTTCCATTGTGTTCTAGCCACCACTTAAATTTCTAATGATTGCATTCTTGTTAAATTTTTTTATGTCCACTTCTGTAAACCTTTGCATAAAATGGTCATTTTTTGGACTGTCATTGGAGTATCAGGTCAAAAAGAATATGCTACTTTGGATGAGTCATGATGTTTTCTTTTGCACTGTTTTTAGTCCCAAACCAGACCAGACTTTCGTAGTTATAAAATACACAGAGACCAGACATTACCAAATCAGTTCAGACCAGGCCAACAAATTTCACTCCAAAAGAAAATATCCTCATTCCTCCTAGTAGCAATTTAATGTCCATTTCTTAGCATACTCTAAGGTAAAAAAAAAACTATTCAGTTACTTTCCAAAAGGGGATTATGTAATACTTCCTCCGTCCCGAAAAGGTTGGTCAAAGTTGACTTTCATGTAGATTAATAAAGTAAAAACCGTGTGGTTGAAATTTGTGCAGAGAAGAGAGAATTAACTTGAGCCACATATTCCTTATTTTTAATGGCAAATCTTTTTGGGGCATCAAAAAAAGGAAATTTGGCCAACCTTTTCGGGACGGAGGGAGTACAAATTAAGAGGACTGTTAAGTACAGAAATACATGAGGCTTCGGTAGATCCATAGAATTTAATAAGCATTATATGTGAATGTCATGCTAGACTAAATAACAAATTGTGCTGGGTGTGCTTAGTATTCTAATTTTCAATGTGACAATATATTAATTATACTACGCATTTGTTTATGATTTTAACTGTGATGCCTGGTATGATGATTGCTGATATATTCAATCAGTTATGATAGTTTCCTTCCCATTAATGACCACCTCTATTTGTTTTTACTTGGCAGTCATGCATTAAAGTTGCTGCTGACTTTGTTTCTCCTGAAAGTATTCCTGAATGCATTAGATTGACCGAGGAATTCCGTACTCTTCCCAAGAATCATAGGGCCAAGGAAGATAAACTGGAGGTGCGATTCCTTTTTTGAATACCTGAACTTTTACTTTCCTATGAATTGTAAATATGTAGGATTAGCATAACCTTAGAGATCAAAAGCATAATCTCTTAGGGTATGACAATTTAATCTTATGAAATTTACATAAATGTTTATTTTCCACTCTCTATATACCGACTTTATGTCTAAGATATCATAATTCTATTTCTATGATAGTATTCTGTTTGTTTACCATCTAAGTCTAGACGTGCCCTCCACCCCCTTCATTTTTGTTTCATTTACATTGATCCTATGTTAGATCTTTTGGTATTTGGATGCAATTGTTTTTTTAATCTCGCAAACTGTATACTCAATACTTTTTTCACTCAAATGCATTAATATGACTGAATTTTACATTTCCTGCTGCTGCTACTGTTGTCATTCTTCTTACATATTATTATTATTATTATTATTATTATTATTATTATTATTATTATTATTATTATTATTATTATTATTATTATTATTATTATTATTATTATTATTATTATTATTATTATTATTATTATTATTATTATTATTATTATTATTATTATTATTATTATTATTATTATTATTATTATTATTATTATTATTATTATTATTATTATTATTATTATTATTATTATTATTATTATTATTATTATTATTATTATTATTATTATTATTATTATTATTATTATTATTATTATTATTATTATTATTATTATTATTATTATTATTATTATTATTATTATTATTATTATTATTATTATTATTATTATTATTATTATTATTATTATTATTATTATTATTATTATTATTATTATTATTATTATTATTATTATTATTATTATTATTATTATTATTATTATTATTATTATTATTATTATTATTATTATTATTATTATTATTATTATTATTATTATTATTATTATTATTATTATTATTATTATTATTATTATTATTATTATTATTATTATTATTATTATTATTATTATTATTATTATTATTATTATTATTATTATTATTATTATTATTATTATTATTATTATTATTATTATTATTATTATTATTATTATTATTATTATTATTATTATTATTATTATTATTATTATTATTATTATTATTATTACTATTATTGCTTTATGATACAAGCATTATTGAAAAATTTATGTTGTGCATGCCCCTTTCCGACAGGTAAAAAAAATGATCATTTATGCAGTGAAAGAAGCTTTGGATGATCTTAAGGGATGTATTTTATAGGTACGCCAAAAGCCCGTTTAAAACAAGAAAATGCAGTGCTAGGTTGCTTATTGACTAATTGTTCTATTTGTGTGTATTAGACTATTACGACACCTACTTTATGTTGAGAAACCTACCGAGTCTTTAGTTATAGCGTATTATGATACTTGAGAATAAAATAGTATATTCCATATTGATATTGTGTGTATAAGTTCTTTTCCAAAATACCAAAAAAGTGATTGTTGAATTGCAAACTTTGCATTGTAGGAAACTAATGGGAAAAAGTGATGTCCAATGAATCTATAAGATGGAAGATGTTTTGTTATATAATAATTTATCTAAGTAATCTAACACTTCATCTAATTTTAACACTTTTGCAACTATTTGCATGACCTTTTTTCGTATTTTTTATGTTGTAGAAAAAAAGTTTTAAACAAAATTTTCAAGTTTTCATGCATCGTATTTTAACATTCCGTGTAATGGTTTCCAAGATTTATACCTCCCATCGGACTGGTTTAACACTTAATGGCAGGTTTTTGTTCATTTTCATAATTCTACATACGTTGTCCTGTGTTTTACATACTATATCTACACACCCAGTCACCCATGCTTCCTAGGAAACGTTTGGATTGATGTTTTTATTTGTAGGGTTGTAAGCAATAGATGATGTAGACAAGGAAGCAGCAGCAAAGCCTTTTCTGTCTGGAGATGGCTTTCTTTGTTGGTCAGCTGCTAATCATTTTCTATCATGCTGGAGTGTCCTATAGAGAAAGCCCGCAAATATTACTTAGCAATCATGCTATTATTCTAAAGTACTCCGTAATTACTTTGACAATCATTTAGTATTTAAATTCAAACTAATGATTACCTTTTTCAAGGTACAGAACATGCTACGGTCATAAAACATAAAGGATTCCTTCCATACTTGATTGATTAAAGTCAAGCTATGCATGTAATCCAATTCAAATGATGCTACGTGTATCTTACTATGTGCAAAGATCCCACTCAAACAATTCAATTATGGATGGCAATTTAATTGGTATGGTAAGAAATATTTATTTCAAAAAGCAAATGCCACATACGTCATACGGTCATCTTCCATAAAGCAAGATATTTAATTCATTAATGCTATGGTCAATCAATTCATGAGTCATGCAATCCTTAATTTTGCAAGCCAAAATTACTTTCCATAAAGTAAAAAGCACAATTACTTTTTATGAAGTTAAAAGCACAATTACGTATATATTTATTTGGTCATGCAAAAAGGCACTCATATTACTTTCCATAAAGTAATAAACTATAATTTCCATAAAGTAATATACCACTCAAATAAGCACTCATATAAGCAAAATACGTATATATTATTTGGTCATAAAGATATTTTTACTTAAAATAATATTCTTGACAAAGTATAAGCATTCATATAAGGAAGACACATTAATTGAAAATCAAATAGGTGTAATCAATATTAATTCAAACCATATCACAGAACTAGAAATGGTTCAGTATTAGTTCCACCTGCATAGTTAGTCAACAACACAATAATAATGTTCATTTGGACCTGATGATAGTTCTGCCCTTTGTTTCTTAAGGAACTGTGAGCAGTTCTGTCCGCCGTTCCACCTGCATGGTTAGTCATCAACAAAACCACATATTCAACAGGTTATGTTACGGGTTTCCGTACCCATTTTTGCCGAAACGCGTACCGGAGCCCGGTTCGACGTGGGATTGATCCCGGTCATCCTATATATGAATATTTTGCATGGAATTGCATGAAATATGATGTTTAAAATGCTAAGGCTTGGAAAACGGTTTAAACACTAAGACTTGGACTAGTCGTTAGTAATGAAATTATAGACCACGACCGGGCGAGGTACGTGGTAGATTATACATGGCGGGTGAATACCCGGGACCAAGTAAGGTTATATAATACTTCTATGACCAGGAGGAGTCCTCTACACTCGAACGTTAACAAGGGCCCGTGTAGTTCTTGACGTGTGTTAACCTCCAGCAAATTACACATAAGTAACAAAGGCAAATGCAGTCCTTGAGGTGTGGTATCCTCCATCAAATTGCATATAGGTAACAAGGGCCCGTGTATTCCTTGAGGTGTGTTAACCTCCCACAAATTACACATAGGTGACAAGGGCAAATGCAGTCCTTGAAGTGTGGTATCCTCCATCAAATTGCATATAGGTAACAAGGGCTCTTGTAGTCCTTGAGGTGTGATATCCTCCAGCAAATTATACATAGGTAAGAAGGGCAAGTGTAGTTGATAGACAATTAATAGTCCTCGCAAGTACACGAGTCACAGTAGTATAGTGCACAAGTAAGGGTCGAATCCACGGGAAAAATGTAACCAAGTAATTGGAAAAATATTAATTAATAAAAATAAAAGTGAATGTAATCTTACTTTTTTTTGTAACAAGGAGGCTTATATTGATAATAAAACATTTAGCAAGGGACACACGAGATAAAGGAAACACTTCCAGCCACCGACCCTCAAACTAGCTGGAGAAACAATCACTCTAGACAGAGCAATATGATTCGCTTATCCTATAGTGGGTCTAAATGAGCCTAACGTGGCCAGAACAATACCTTCATCACCCTCACCTAATGTAAGAGTCTGACAAAAATAAACGTACCTAACAACCAAAACAACATGAATATCAAAGTAAAAACACAAACAAACTAAAACAAAAATAGAAATAGACTTCCAAATCCTAGACGCACAATTCCTCCATGGAGGCGGTTCAGGAGGGGGACGAGTCAACATCTCTTCATCTTCTTTCGCCCAAAAGAGATCACCACTGCCCGCCCTCAATTCTTCCAATCCAAGATCTTCCACCTTGAAAGAAAAATCTTGCAGAGGAGGCCCTGATGGCGGTTCGGGAGGGGGGCGGATCGCCGGACTGCCTTCCGCCTCGACCAGCCATTCAAAGTTTCTGGTTTGCTCCTTTCCCTTGTCGTCTCCACCAAGATCAATAACAATCCCCTCCTCTTCCTCAATGATCCACCCTTGACATGTCTGCACCAAAATCCCAATTGAAGCCTCCTTCTCCATATGCCCGCTGCCTACGCCTGCAGAAGCTGTTGACCTGTGCTTGGAAACCTCCCGTCACCAAAGTCTCCCGCAGCTTGCCGAACGGAAAATAAAGGCCTAAAGCACGACTTCCACCAACTTCCTCCCAACAAAAACAAATCTAACCTGAGCGTAATCAATCTCACAAGATTCTAGAATTCAAAACCTCCAACCTCCAATTGTAAACAAAAGCATCGAAGAGAAGAAACCAAAAGATCCGCACAAAACGGCGGCAATACAAACCTTAGAGAGCTAGGGAGACGACCGTTGTATCTGGCTCAGGGAAGAAATAATCTAACTAAAAAAATGAGTTTTGAATTTGTTGAGTTGAAACTAAAAAAATCAAACTTGAATTAAAATGAATGCAAGGAATTTAATTGAATAAAAATAAACTAATTAAACAACTAGCAGCAAAACGATGAACAATTAGCAAGAGAAAAACAATAGTCCAGGATTATGAATCAGTCACTAATCTTTAGTATTTGCGATTTAATTAGTCAATTAAAATTGAGGGTTCGTTCTAGACAAAAATATGACTATTCCGTATGGCGTCCAGAATAAGTCACATACCTTAACCATTAATCAATAAAATATTACGGAGTATTAATGAAATAGTTAAAATCCATTAATCACAAAAGAACTACGGAAACCTGATTTAAGATCCAAATAGATAATCTAACAAGACAGTAAAATTATCTATTCTTTTATCCAAAAGAACTTGAATTAAAAGGCATGACATGTACTCTATTAATCCACTCAAACAACTTAATTAATCATATTACAGTTGGCTAGAAAATTCGCATAATCAATTAAGCGAATAAGACCAATGGATAAAACTCAACCAATTGACATTACTAAAATCACAATTCATACTAAATTATAGCAACACCATCATAATCCAGGACTTAAAGAATTTAGCTACTCATGTCTAAACTGGTTGAGAGTAAAACAAAAATAATTAAAGAGTTCATCTTCATCACCTTAATGATTAGCAAACAATTACTGTGAATAATCACTTTACTAAACTAAGGCACGTATTTATATCTATCTATATCTATATCTATATCTATATCTATATCTATATCTATATCTATATCTATATCTATATCTATATCTATATCTATATCTATATCTATATCTATATCTATATCTATATCTATATAATATAATAAAGCAAACCCCTAAAGAACTCTTTAGATGAATTGATGACATGTGGCAACACCCTTTGTATGAAACAATGACATGTGGCAACACAATAAATTAAAGAAAAAGCTATTCAACTTCCGAAACTCTACTCTTGTGTATTCCAAAATTTTAGGTAAAATTTTGCACTCACCGGTATTACAAAATCGAAATACTCAAAAATAAAAAATAATTGACAATTTTTAGCCACTGTTAAAACAAAAATATTACTCTCTATTTCTATTCTCATAAACTCTTGGAGATTCTCCCTTATTCGGAGTTATTATAAATTGTTTCTTATTTCTTTCCAAAATATGATAATTATTACATCCTTCGTCACATTAATTTTCTCCGACATTTCCTTTTTTCGTTCACTAAGTTTGTGTAGCTCTAAATATTATAACGCATGTGTAGTTCTAAATCATTCTTACATTATTGTTCCTGCATTTTCATTTCAACATTAGCTATATAAACTCTTTTTTAATAGATGCACATGTCTCGATCTTGAGGGGACAAATGTGATATTACTTATTTATTTATTAATTCACAAGGTCTACCAAATCAATGTCTAAATGTAGATTCATTTTTTTGTCTCATATTTATTTATACTTCGCAATTTATGTTCAGGTTGATAAATGGATTAGCACTCCCCAATCTTACCCAACCCGTGGTAGCTTATATTTTTCATAGCTTGGATCATCTAACTGCCTAACGGTCTCAAACGATGAAAACGATCTCAAACGATGCACATTATTTTTAATGGAGTTGCACAATACACTTATATTTAAAATAATTCAGACATTAAATGAACATGAAAAGGTTATTTGATTTACAAAAATGTCACTTCAATTTTTATTTATGATAGCGCATAATTCTATTTCAAATAATGAACAATTTTCAAATCTAACATTCGTGATCATTCTAATTCTCTTTACAGATTAAGATGTCTTCTCATTTAAACTCAATCTTATATTTATAATTTACAATCTTCAAATCTAACGTTTCGGTTCATATATATAGAAATAATGCTAGAGTAATTTATTTGAATAATTATTATATATAGAAACAATGGTTCAACAAGGGTTGTAAACTAATAAGCATATTTGAAAATTATTTTAGTGGTAAATCATCAATATTGAAGACAATGAAAGTCAAATGTTTATATTTTGGTTTACACGCAACTTGCATGTGTCAACTCACTTAACTCGCAACCCGTGCAAATTGCACCACGAAACCGGTGAGTTCATCGGATTAAAGAATGACAACTCTTATCCACCGTGAAATGAGATGAAATGGGCAAGCCCTAATATGGATTTTGACTCACTTTGACGGCTCTATCCATATATAGTCGATTGAATTTTCTTATTAAATCCCATTGATGAATTTACATCCAATTTATTTTCCCTACAATTTTAATAAAAACTTTAAGCACATATGTTCCCGTGCGGTGCACGGGTACTCATACTAGTAATATAATAAAGCAAACTCCTAAAGAACTATTTGGAGGAATTGTTGACATATGACAACATCCTTTGTATGAAAAAATGACATGTGGCAAAACAATAAATTAAAGAAAGAGCTATTCAACTTCCATAACTCCACTCTTATGTATTCCAATATTATAGATATATTTTTATATTAATATATGTGTATATATTTGTAATATAATAAAGCTCTCCGACACGGTTTAAAGAGGTTCATCACAAGGCTTAACTGACCTAGAGTGAAGAACCCACCCTATTTCGGTTCAGAAAATAAGAACTTAGGGTTGAAATTGGTAAAGCTCTCCGACACGGTTCAGAAATTAAGAACCCAAGGAAAGCGACCTTGACCGGGAAATCAGGGCAGAAACTATGAGGACAAAGTGATAGAAAACAGACTTATCTATTTGGCAACTGATGTCAGTTGTTGAGGTCAAAACAGGGCTCCCAAGTCGTGTGGATACAGGAATGAGGGATAATTTCTCAAACGATCAGCCAATATGGAATCCAGCCTCAAACTCAGGGCTGAGTGACTCAAGTTAAGCTTAAAGAAAGGTCAAAGCAGGGCAGGTAATTAGCCCCAGGACAAACAGGTTGGACCAAGAAACAACAACGTCATATACGTGCAAAAATAAAGTGCAGAAAAGTAATTGATTGTTTACAAGCCACCCCGAGGGCGGAAAACGCTTCAAGCACGCAGGCTTGGAAAGATGTTTGTCAAAGCAGATAACAAGGATAAAGCAGAATTTACAGAACATGTGCTAGGGCGTCCCCCTAAACGCCACCTAGCACTAGTCAACCTTTACACGGAATCAATGGAGCTCTTCTCATATGAAGGAAAGGAAACGGCCTGGGAGGCCGGCCTCATCCCAGCGCCCCTCATCAGGAGCAGCTAGAGGTCAACAACCGGCTTTGCAAAAGTCATAGCGTCGTTCCCTTGTTCTCTCCCATCAGGTTCCCCAGAGGCCGCCATCACGCCTCCTGAAATTGAAAAGAAACAGGGTCGGAAAACAGACCATTGGGATGAGGAAAAGAGGAACTACCAAGACAAGGACTTACAGGGCCAACCTGTGGAGAGTGTGAGCGCAACCTTCCCATCGGCACCTTTATGATAGCCCAGCAAATAGGGCGAATCCCTTCCGATGAGGTCGGCGGCATGTTCAGTCCCCTCGTTAAGGATCGACACGTCCCATCGGCGAATAAGCTCTCCCCACCTCTTGATAAAAGACAACTTGCCATCGGCTGGAGTTACCCACACCCACTTTTGCTCCCAGTTTTGAGAAAGGTCTGGGCAGGGTGGGGCCTCAAACAGATGATGGCCAGGTCTCTGAGAAAGCGAGAGGAAGCCTTTGCCCACGAAAGCACCAGATCGGGCCGCATAAAAGAAATGCCGGAAGAGGGTCAGGTTTGGCCTGAACCGCAGACCCACGCATCGGGCCATAAAGCCGGCTATGAAAAGGTGCGCCACAAAAGGTGCGCCACAGGAGAGGATGATCAGCATAAAAGGATGGAGAGGTAGCCTAAGCCCCATGCGCAGGCTGAGCAGACGAACCCCAAAATGAATTGGAGAAGGGGGCTCTACAATGTTCTGCCCAGGGGTAGGGCGTGAACAAACCAAGCTGGGACCGGTGAGAGAGGCGGCAGTTTGAAACTCAGCGTCAGAGAGGGCCACTGCAGTGATGGCCCGAGCCCTGCTAGCCGGAAGGTAAAAGTGAGTTTTAGTATCATGAAAGAATTCGGGAGCAGGAGAAGATTTAGATGAAGACATGGTGAACTGGAGTTTTGCTCAAGAAGATCAAAGAATGTCCGAATAGTAAAAGGATGCGAAGGAAAGTTGCTTTTATAGCGAAACCCTAGAACGCTTCGTAATCGTTGGAACCGCTTGGGAGTTATCTCGACAACCGTTCAGAAACCGCTTGGGAAAACCGCATCCGGGGATTCTAGGAGTCGGGAAATGGAAAGGATGATTGAAAATTGAGCCCGGGCTGTAGGCCTACTTCGGCGCAATAATTACTAAGGCAGAGCTACAGTCGCCTATAAAGATTCGAAATTTGAAATTCAATAAACCGCTTCAATTCTACTCCTCCAAAATTCAGCCTTGCTAATTTTGAGGAGTAGGGGGGCTCGTGATGGTACCATGGATTCAGACCATGGCCCAATTACGTAGTCTAGCCCATAAACGGGATCAGCCCTTAACGAGATCAGCCTAATTACAGGATTAGCCCATAAACGGGATCAGTCCTTAACGGGATCAGCCTAATTATAGGATTAGCCCATAAACGGGATCAGCCCTTAATGGGACCAGCCTAATTACAGGATCAGCCCATGAACGGGATTTATGATTAAAAGCCGCTTAGCCCATTAGGAATTAGGCCCACGATAGGAACCCACAGCTAGGCCGGGCTGGACAGCAGACCTCGAGCCTGGGCGGAGTTCTAGTGAGGCCAGGATATTCCTAGGGCTTACGTGGCGAGCTATCATTCGTCGATAGATATTTGGCAACAGGCAGGACTCATCCAGAGAACAACGACTAAAAGAAGAGAGCAATCGTGTGGGAATCAAGCATCGAAGGAGTTCTATTTCGAGCAAGAATATAGTTCATTAATGAAGCATTAATTGTATTAGATTCCTCCCATAATACTATCTCCCTTTAATTCCAGG